GATTAGGATGCTTCAGGGTTCTTGTTTATGTGGAGATGCCCAGGAGGGAAAAAAGGTTCGTTTCATTGAGGGTAATCCTTGGCTTCGTATAGGAGCCCGAATGCGACTTAAGGAGTAGGACCACACCTGGTTTAAGGAGCGTTCCTCTATCTATCTGGTTCAAAGGAAGTCCTCCTTAAATCGCATTCGGGCCTCCATAACAAGCTAAGGAGAGCCCTCAACGAAAAGGATACTCTGGGTAAGTTTGATGGAAAGCTGCTTGAGCAAAAGTCGAAACAGACCTAAACCCTAAACCCTAAACCCTAAACTCTAAACCCTAAACCCCAAACCTCACCCGAAGCCTCAGCAGGTTGCCTATTCAGTAAAGACTCCCCTTTAGAACCGTCTCCCCGATTTGAGGTCCCAAGGCCTCGTGCAGATCGCCCAGGCCCAGCCGGGCCTGGTCAACAACACGGTGGAACGGGTGGGGTGGGGTGGGTGAGGGGTTGGGAGACTGAACCCCCTAAACCCCCTAAACCCGAAACCCCCTAAACCCTTAAACCCTAAACCCTAAACCCTAAACCCTAAACCCTAAACCCTAAACCCTAAACCCTTCACAGTTGGGGTTAAGGGTTTCAGGGCAGATCCGGAAACGGGGCGTGGGGGGTCAAGCGCTCCCCCCAAGGGTCCAAGCAAGGTCCGTAGGTTCAGGCTATCCCTAGACCCTAAACCCTAGACCCTAAACCCTAAACCCCAATATGCTGAATGTTACATTGCTATATGGTTATATGCGAGGGTTCGCTCCGGCATCTGGAACTTCAAGAGCGCCATACATGGCCAAGAAGGCTCCATACTTCAGTTCTCTTAATCCTGGCTCCTTCATCTCGAAACCTTTGGGGTTGAGGGTTTGGGGTTTAGGGTTTGGGGTTTAGGGTTTAGGGTCTAGGGTTTGTCAAAATGCGACCCCTTGCAATGATGATATTCGGCACCAAAGAAGTAACCTCTGGGATGATGTCGCTGGCCCAAAGGTGCTTCATCGCGAAGGAGGCCGAGCCTTTCAACTCTCAGCCCCCGCAACCCTCAGCCTCGAATCCCAAAGCCGAAATCCTAAAAACGCCAAGAGGGTTTGAAGGTGTAGGGTTTAGGGTAGGGTTTAGGCAAGTTGGGATGTTCCGACTTATACTACCCGTCCTTCATAGGGATCAGAATAGAGGGTACTACAACTTCTATGAAGGACTGCTAGTATAAGGGGGAACATCCCAAGCTCTAACCCCTAAACCCTAAACCCCAAACCCTACACAGTTTGCTCTTCTAGGCTGATAGCACAAAAGCAGCGACCTCGGCGCGCAGCGTCGCCGCGTGGGCGCAGCGCGGCTCGACGGTCAGCACGAAGCTGCAGTCCTCTCGGGGCTGGGGCTTCAGTGTAAAAAAGGGGGTTGTATAGAGTTTATAGAGGGCTTAGAGGGTTTATGAAGGGCTCATAGGGTTTTAAAGGGCTCATGGGGTTCACAAAGGGCTTAGAGGGTTTATGAAGGGGGGTTGTAGGGTTTCTGAAGGGGTTGTAGGGCTTATGAACGGCTTAGAGGGCTTATGAAGGGCTCATAGGGTTTATAAAGGGCTTGGAGGGTTTATGAAGGGGGTTTGTAGGGTTTACAAAGGGCTTAGAGGGTTTATGAAGGGAGTAGTAGGGTTTATGAAGGGCATTATACTACTCATAAAGTCATAAAGCTTTCTTATCACCCCTGGGCTTTTCAACTTTGGCTTAGGAACCACGGGTCGCAGGCTTTGGGATCTTAAGGCTGGGGGGGTTTGACGACGGCCCTGATGGCAGAGTTGACCTTACACTCTCAAGCTGTAAATTCCTTGGCCCAAAAACACATAAACCCTCAACAACTATTCAGAGCTTGGGGGTTAGGGCTTTTGGCTGTAGGCTGTAGGGGGCTCTACGGGTTACTGTATAAACGGAAGGTTACATGGGGACCGGGACCGTCGAAGATGTCAACATCTTTTCAAAAAGTCTCCAAACGCAATTCTGCAGCCCAACTCGTATTTAACCTATGTACGAAAATACTGAGGTGTGATTTGTGATTGGAAATCCTGCATGGAGAGGCATCAACTTCCTAAGCTGAATACCCTGCATTCGCAAAGCCGAACCCTAAGCCATGCCGACACTCAAACTCAAGAACCCCAACCCTAAACCCTAAAGCTAACACCCTAAACCCTAAACCCTAAGCCCTAAGCCCTAAACCCTAAACCCTAACCCTAAACCCTAAACCATGAAATCTCCTCGATGCAGTCAGTAAGGTAGCCGACACGGAGGTTGACCTAGGAAGCTGCGCCGTGGTGAGGCGCACTTGGGGGCTAGAACAGGGTTTAGGGTTTAGGGCTAGGGTTTAGGGTGCTCAGGGCTCAGGGTTCAGGGTTCAGGGTTTAGGGGCTTTTGAATGGCTCTGGAATGGAGGCTTGGAAGTTTTCTTGTGGGCTTGCAAGGGTTCGGGGGTCAAGGGTTTCGACTGAGGGCTTACAGAGCCTGTGGTTGTCAGGGTTCAATGAGATCTTCTTGAGGCTTTGTTCCGCATGATCGCGAGATGGTTCCGGTGGTTGTTCTTCTAACAACCTGGTGTTAGGGTTGAATGGGGAGTGCGGGGTGACCCTAACCATGGATGGGTACCCTATAACCCTTGCGCATCTGTATATCTTTCATATATCCTTTAAGGGAAGACATGGGGTACTCACTTTCCCTCATTCACCTACGAATAAGCCGTTGGCCACCAAGGGCAGGATCTTTCGGCCCCAAACCCGAGAGTCCCCTAAACTCCAATACCCAAGCCGCAAAGAGCCCATAAAAATCATTATCAGAATCCTCATCAGGGCTGAGGGTCGAGAGTTTTCGGGTTTAGGGCTGGGGGCTAGTAGGGCTGAGGGTCTAGAGTTCTCGGGTTTAGGGTTGAGAGTTTAGGTGATGATGATAGCCATGATCTTCGGGGCCGGATGTTTCGCACTCAAAGTACGATTGCTGTTTTTTCCCTTGCCCAGGAAGGAAGCCCCCCCTTTCCTTCTTTCCTTGAAGCACAAACCACTCCCACTCCCACTCGCATCGAACGACCCGTCAAATTGAAAACAGTCCTCGGGTTGACGTTAAGAGTTAATGTTTTATAAAGCAGGGGTAGGAGTTGAGGGGGTTAAGGGGCTTAGGGGTTGGGGCCTAAGATGGTCTCCCTCATGTTAAAGCCCGTGTACCCTGCTTTTGTTGATGGCATAGGCCGTTAGTATGGGGGGGTCACCGAAGTTAGGGGTACCTTATTGGGGTCCTTGAAATTGGGGGAATCTTGCTATTTGGGGGTTCGGGTACTGTGGGGGTCTATAGGAGCCCAGGAAACCCGCGTGGGCTTCGGCCTCTGCTTGCACAAGCCGTGCCAAACAACTCGCAGGCGCAATGGCCAAAGCCTTGCTCAGGAATGCATCATGAAAGGCTGCAACTGACAGTGTACTTAACGTACGACTGGGTGGCTTGCCTCAAGAGGTTCCAAGGTCCGGTCTGGAATCTGAGTACAAAAAACAAATAAGCAACTCGAAATGAATACTTGCATACTTGCTTTTGTTTGTTTGTTGTGTAGGCATAGTCAGTTAGAGGGGCCAGAAGGGAAAGAGGAGTCAGGCATGTAAGGCTTAGTCGTTGTTGGGCATTTGGGGTAGTACTGCTGAGGGTTCGGGCGCTCCCGCCCTAAGTCCTACAGCCCTCAAGCCCTCAAACCCTCAAACCCTCAAACCCTCAAACCCTCAAACCCTCAAACCCTCAAACCCTCAAACCCTCAAACCCTCAAACCCTTAAACCCTTAAACCCTTAAACCCTAAATCCTACCTCGAACCCTTGAACCCTAAACCTGCTACGTGAGTTCTACGCTGTTCTTACACCATCTTCGGCGGGCCAAAAAGGGCAGCTTTGGAGACGATTGAAGTATTAGGATTTTAGGAAGCCTAAACCCTAAACCCTAAACCCTAGACCCTAAACCCTAAACCCTAAACCCTAAACTGCGCAGGCCTCCATGCAGTCCCCCGCGGCCTCCTCGTAGCGGCCAAGCCGCAGAAGCGCCTGTTGGGTGTGCTTCGAGGGTTTAGGGTTTAGGGTTTAGGGTTTAGGGTTTAGGGTGTAGGGTTTAGGGTTTAGGGCTAGGGTTTAGGGGTTTGGGGGTTGAGGGCTAGGGTTTAGGGGTTTAGGGGTTTAGGGGCTTAGGGGTTTAGGGGTTTAGGGGTTTAGGGGTTTAGGGGTTTAGGGTTAAGGGTTTAGGGGTTTAGGGGTTTAGGGGTTTAGGGGTTTAGGGGATTGGGGTTTAGGGGTCAGAGTTAAGGGTTTAGGGTTCGAGTTTGGATTTTAGAAGCTCATGAGTGGACATGTGGCGGGGTTTCGTGGTTCTGGGTTGAAGAGTATGTCGCTGCATGTACTTTGGTTTGGGAAATAACGGTCATTACTACGTTGTGCTACTCGGGAAAATTTAAACATTAAACCCTAAACCCTGAACCCTAAACCCCAAACCCTAAACCCTAAACCCACTCATTGAAGCGTGCTGGAGGGTTTTGGGGCTCAGGGCGTTGGGTTCGTCGTGTTTACGGTTTTGGGTTTAGGGTTTGGGGTCTAGGGATTAAGGTTGTACTTGGGGGTTCATGGTTGCTTATAACCCCAATTGTGAGTCTACCTGTAACCTAGTTAGGGGACTTAGGGGGCTTAAGTACAGTTATAGTTAGGGTTACAAGTGCCCTGTCCCTCCTAGTCCATCATGAAAAGAATAAGATGCTTGCTATTGATCTTGCTGGCGCGTTGACTGCGGGCCCCATGCTCGCCTTTGCTTTCGCGTGCTGGTCTGACGAGGAGTTATACTAGATTATACGATATAAACCTACATCATACTACATTTTACTACATTATACTATATTATACTATATTGTACTATATTATGCTATAATATGCTAAATTATGCTGCATTATGCTGTATTATGCTGTATTATACTATATTATAAGGACATCATGTCCGGCGATGTCCGGAATCAATTTCGCGTCTTCTGCACGAATGGCTTGCCAATGCTGACCCTATAAGCCCTCGAAGCGTCCGCGTGTGCCTGCAGCAAATGGCGCGCAAACTCCAACTGCCCCTGCTTGCTGCGGTCAACAAAGGGGTGGCGCCACGATTCATAGCCTTGTCCATATCCGCATTGGCCTCCTGCAAGAGACGAGCAACCTCCAGCTGCCCATTCTGAGCTGCCATGAACAAAGGGGTGGCGCCATCCTCCTTGGCCTTGTCCTTGTCCGCATTGGCCTCCAGCAAGAGACGTGCAACCTCCAACTGCCCCTGCTCAGCTGCGAGGCACAAAGGGGTGGCGCCATCATTCATGCTCTTGTCCTTATCCGCATTGGCCTCCAGCAAGAGACGTGCAACCTCCAAATGCCCATTCTGAGCTGCGATGAGCAAAGGGGTGGCGCCATCCTCCTTGGCCTTGTCCTTGTCCGCATTGGCCTCCAGCAAGAGACGTGCAACCTCCAAATGCCCGTGGTGAGCTGCGATGCAGAAAGGGGTGGCGCCATCATTCATGCTCTTGTCCTTATCCGCATTGGCCTCCAGCAAGAGACGTGCAACCTCCAAATGCCCGTGGTGAGCTGCGATGCAGAAAGGGGTGGCACCATCATTCATGCTCTTGTCCTTATCCGCATTGGCCTCCAGCAAGAGACGTGCAACCTCCAAATGCCCGTGGTGAGCTGCGATGCAGAAAGGGGTGGCGCCATCATTCCTGCTCTTGTCCTTATCCGCATTGGCCTCCAGCAAGAGACGTGCACCCTCCAAATGCCCATTCTGAGCTGCGATGAGCAAAGGGGTGGCGCCATCATTCATGGCCTTGTCCTTGTCCGCTTTGGCCTCCAGCAAGAGACGTGCACCCTCCAAATGCCCATTCTGAGCTGCGATGAGCAAAGGGGTGGCGCCATCATTCATGGCCTTGTCCTTGTCCGCTTTGGCCTCCAGCAAGAGACGTGCACCCTCCAAATGCCCATTCTGAGCTGCAATGAACAAAGGGGTGGCGCCAACATTCATGGCCTTGTCCTTGTCCACATTGGCCTCCAGCAAGAAACGAGCAACCTCCAAATGCCCATTCTGAGCTGCCATGAACAAAGGGGTGGCGCCATCCTCCTTGGCCTTGTCCTTGTCCGCATTGGCCTCCAGCAAGAGACGTGCAACCTCCAACTGCCCCTGCTCAGCTGCGATGCACAAAGGGGTGGCGCCATCATTCATGCTCTTGTCCTTATCCGCATTGGCCTCCAGCAAGAGACGTGCAACCGCCAAATGCCCGTGGTGAGCTGCGATGCAGAAAGGGGTGGCGCCATCATTCATGCTCTTGTCCTTATCCGCATTGGCCTCCAGCAAGAGACGTGCAACCTCCAAATGCCCGTGGTGAGCTGCGACGCAGAAAGGGGTGGCGCCATCATTCATGCTCTTGTCCTTATCCGCATTGGCCTCCAGCAAGAGACGTACAACTTCCAAATGCCCTTGGTCAGCTGCGATGAACAAAGGGGTGTCGCCATCATTCACGGCCTTGTCCTTGTCCGCATTGGCCTCCAGCAGCAGGCGCACCACCTCCACGTGGCCGTGCTCGGATGCCTGGAACAGTGGGAGCGGATCGCCCAAATCTGGGTCTTGCGGCCTTTCTAGAATGTGCTCCACCTCGGATGTCAGGCCGCTTCTTGCAGCATCCCGAAGCGCATGCACTTCCGCTACAGAAGCCGGGCAGAAGTTTAACAGTACTACCTGCACCTCGCCGGGTCTCAACGAATGCTGCTCATCAAGAATCGACTCTTCATTGAGGGATAACAGCCTTTGCCTGAACCTTGGCAGCCCATGAACACTGTGCAAGCGTTGCTTCAGTGCCCGGACAGGATGCAGCCCTGCAGGCAGCATCTCCAGAAAGCTCGCCAAGTCCAGCGCATCGAGTCCTTTACCCGATACTGTCCGAATCCGCAGCATGTCTAGCAGTGCAGCGCTAGACGGAACAGAAGGGGGCCCAAAAGAACCAGCAAGCGTTGCCGCAGTGCTCGATGTGTGAAAGGAAGCCGTAAGAAATTGGAGTCGGGCAACGGCTTAATATTTTGATCCATGTGCTGCATCCATGTATGTTTTGCAAAGTTGCATCCTGCAAATACGGCGTGTATCCTCAGCGTAAGTTAAGCATTACCAACCCTTAACATACAAACCCTAAAAAACATAAACCTGAACAGGCCTCAGCTTTCAATTTAGGGTCTCATTTAACTATCATACAGAAAACTCAGTCGCTGAACTTTCCTATATACTAGACAAACACGATGGGCTGAAGACCTAAAGCTGCGCCAAGCGTTGTCACTGAAGCACTGATTGTTCTAGGGTTTATGGCTTTAGGGTTTAGGGTTTAGGGTGACTGTTCTAGGGTTTATGGCTTTAGGGTTTATAGGGATGTTGGCATGGCACTGAAGCACTGTCTGTTTTCAGGCTTAGGGCCTCGAGTTTAGAGTTTAGCGGCGAAGGGTCTAAGCTGAAATGGAAGAAGGATTTTAGGATTTACGGGCACTGATGTAGGACTAGATCGAGAAATCTACAGCCAGATACAGCCCAAAGCCCTAAAACCCAAACACATGAAAACTCATATAGAACCCCTAAACCCTAAACTTTAAACCTTAAACCCTAAACCCTAAACCCTAAACCCTAAACCCTAAACCCTAAACCCTAAACCCTGTACGAACTTGAGAAGGCCCTAGCCTTGAGGTAGTTTCTATGAGCCCTCGAGTGCCGTCTGGGGCTCCTCTCTCGAACATCTATGTGCTCTTATAGGGTTTAGGGTTTAGGGTTTAGGGTTTAGGGTTTAGGGTTTAGGGTTTAGGGTTTAGATATGTGTTCATAGGGACGAGATCTGAAAACAAAAGCCAACACACTGACCTCTAGTTATGGGGTTTTGGGGGTTTTGGGGGCTTTGGGGTTTTGGGGTTTTGGGGTTTTGGGGTTTTGGGGTTTTGGGGTTTTGGGTGCAACCGCTGAACCCTAAAACCCAAGGCTGCAGATAGGGTTTAGGTCTTTCATCGGCAGTCTTCGGTTAGGGGCGTGAGGAGGAAACCCTAAACCCTAAACCCTAAACCCTAAACCCTAAACCCTAAACCCTAAACAAAGCAAACGCAAAGCTCCGGAGGCCTAAACCTACCAAGGCCCCCCCCCCCCCCCATAATTTACCCGAGAACGAAATGCCTACATCACCTGTAAACGCCATACACCCGAAGCATTTCCCTGAACCCTGAACCCTAAACCTTCTAAACCTCAACCCCAACCCCCTAAACCCCAAAAACTCTCAACCCTAAACCCTAAACCCTAAGCCCTAAACCCTAAAACCCCGAAAACTCTCAACCCTAAACCCTAAACCCAGAGCCTAAACCCTAAACCCTAAACCCTCAACCCCAAAACCCCAAAACCCTAAACCCTACAGCTCTCCGCCTCGGCGCGGATCGTCAGCGTCAGGGCGTCCTCGCGCAAGTTGACGGAGAGCTCGGGGAGTCGATTTGCATGAAGGCTGAATGGCCAGGGTTTAGGGTTTCGGGTTTAGGGTTTCGGGTTTAGGGTTTAGGGTTTAGGGTTGAGGGTTGAGGGTTTAGGGTTTAGGGTTTAGGGCCACTGTGGCTACAATTGGTCGGCTTAGGGTTGAGCTGCAGCTAGGGGGGAGTGTAGGATATAGGGATTGGGGGAGAATGTCTTCTCGCCCCTAAACCGCCCGAAGCCCTATGAAAACTTTGAGTAGTTGATGGCGCTTCTTGACGTAGAGGCTCACGGTTTGAGGGTGCCAGCGCCCAAGCCCCAACCCCTACAAACTTCTTAACCCCTCTCCCAACTGTTGTAAAAAAAGGAGCCCCATGAATGGGGTGCCCAGAAAGGGGGCCGCAATCTACAAGAAGCTACCCCCCCGATGATCTGCCCAGCCTTGAGAAAGGTCCTAAGTTAGCGTCTAAGGTTTAGGGTTTCCCTTCCATAAAAACCCTAAACCCTGAAACCCTGAAACCCTGAAACCCTGAAACCCTGAAACCCTGAAACCCTGAAACCCTGAAACCCTAAACCCTAGCATCTGCAATCTCAGACTGTGTCGGCTGCGTCCTGCTCGCCGCGGCGGTGCGGAGAAGTCTGTACAGGGAGCTTAGCTCGGTGCGCGGTTGTCTTTTTTTGGGAAGGGTGGTTTAGGGTTTAGGGTTTAGGGTTTTGGGTTTAGGGTTCAGGGTTCAGGGTTTAGGGTTTGGGGGTTAATGGGATTTGGGCTTGGTTGAAGAACATCCCCTCCAATTCGCTTGCGGCCTTTAACGGCCATGGGGTCTCAGTACAAACCCATAGACCTCGCACTGGCTTTCAGCATTTTAGGCTTTAGAGCTTTGGGACTTTGACCACAAACCCTTTTAGGGTTTACGGTTTAATTCGGATGTTTCATGAGGGCTTCAGGGGCTTTGACCATAAACCCTACTAGGCTTGCCACGCATCACCAGCGCACCTCTCGTCCACCCAGGGCCGCGAGGGCCTGTCACCCAAAGTGGTCCCTTGTAGGGTTTAGGGCTTGGGGTTTTGGGCTTGGGGTAGGTATTCGGGACATGGGGTTTCAGGTTCAGGGTTTAGGGTTGTAAGAGCGGACCTCTTAGGGTGGTGTCGGGTTTTGGATGCCTAGGGATTCTCAAGGTTTCAGGATTTCAGGAGCTTCTGCTTCATACTTCCTGAAACTGGGGAGGGGGGAAAGGGCGGGGGAGGGATTGCACCCCAAAATACAGAAGTCCTTGTTCATATCAGCAGTCGTACCATGTTTAGGCGAAAATCGCCACGCAGACTCGTGCATGGAGCCTATGCAATAAAGCAGCGTGCGCGCCGGTGAAGCAGTGAAGCAGGGGCATGGTCTAACGGCCGCCGGATCAGCAACTGCACTTGTTGTCCCCCTCCTTATGGGGAACCCGAGGATAAATAAGCCCCCCAACCCCTCATCCCGTTCAAACCCGTACAAAAGCCGAGCAACGCCCTGTTTACAAAAACAATCTGTAGACCCCAAACGCCACTTCAAAAGCATTCCACCAGCGCGCCAAGACCGCTCAACTTTCAAGAGCACTTCAGCACTCCAGTTACGCGAAAGCGTTCCAAAAGCCCAAACAACCCTCCGTCGCCCTGCGCAAAACTTAGGATGACCCTTCATAAACACCCTCAACCCTCAACTCCTGTAATCCAAGGCCTCCTGGGCCAGTGACTGCGAAAGCAGCTCCCAAGCCTGTGATTCGGGTGCCGCTCGGCTTCTTGAAGCTTCTGGGCTGCTTGGCTTTTCCGATGGGGGCGTTTAGGGTGGCTTTTCCGATGGGGGCATTTAGGGTTTATAGGGTTTATAGGGTTCATGGGGTTTGTGGGGGTTATCATGTTTATGGGGTTTATGGGGTTATGGGGTTGATTGGGTTAAACAGGGTTAGTCGAGTTGTATCGGGTTTATTGGGATTAATATGAGAAAGAGCTGAAATGCCAAAATCCCTGGAAACCTTGACGCACACTGGCGCGCACTCTCTGTCACACCACCCCGACACCTTAAAGCCCGCTTAAGACCCCCCCTGCCCTGAAGCTCTTCGCCATCTACATCCCCAAACCTCAAAACAGTCCCTGAATTCCATGAAAATCCGTTGAAGCTCATCGAAACCCCTTCCAACACCCGTTTGAAACCCCAAACCCGAAATCCTAAACCACTTAAAACCCCCTTTCAACTCCTTTAACCTGCCGACGAAACCCTAAACCCTAAACCCTAAACCCTAAACCCTAAACCCTAAACCCCTTCCCCGCGAAAAACACCTGCAGCACCCTGGCCAGCGCTGCACGCCTCGGGGGTACCTCGTGAAAGTGGCTGCCGAGGACTTGAAGGGGATTCTTCTTGGAGGTTCATTTTGTTACTTATAACCCCAATTCTGAGTCTACTATAGCCTACTTAGGGGACTTAGGGGGCTTGTAAGTACAGTTATAATGAGGGTTCTGAAGGCCCTGAACCTCCAAGTAGGGCTTGTCTTGTAATTATGGCTTTAAGGGGGCTTGACCCGACCTACAACCCCCAAAGCACATCAATTGATGGCCTTTTCTATGGGCCTTAAACTTTAAACTCCCATAAACGTTTGGGGTTCAGGCATGTGTAGGTTGCGGGGCACAGGGCCCTTCGAAAAACCTTGCCAGACTTGTTCACCTACGTCTTCAAAGGGCTACACACGCTCTGGCGGTGGTACTCAAAACCCCAAAACCCTAAGCCCTCCAACCCCAAAGACCCCAAAAGCCCCAAAAAGCCAGAGGCCCAAACAACCCTAAAACCCCAAAAGCCCACCACCCTAACACCTAAACTCTCAAACCCTAAAACCCTCTCACATCAAGGCGCCAGCAGGGCAAGGCAAAGACTTTTGTCAGCGCCGTCGCGTGACCAGGCATGGACGTTGAGGAGCCACGTGGTTCTTCTTTGGGGTTCGGGGTTGCCGGGGGCTAGAGCTTGGGGTTTAGGGTTTCAGAACATTGAGGGAATGAAGGGTTTTGGGTTTTGGGGTTTGGGGATATACGCGTAGAATTACTGCATGAGGCAATGCTTTGGGTTGTCGCGTGGGCCCTCTGGGAAAGACGGCGCTCCCTTTGCGGCATTGGCCAGCCTTGGCCTCTGGTGACTCTGGGTTTAGCATAGGGGTTTCTACTCTTCTGTGCTCATTAGGGCTCAGCCTCAGGGAAGCCCAACCTACCCTGCTAGAAAACCCCTAAACCCTATCCTTAACTTTCAACTCATCCGTAGCCCTACTCCTGTGCGGGAATCGGGGCGGGATGCGGAGACTTATTCTTAAATCGGGCATCCGGGAGGTAGGCTTTTTCGGGATCCCTTCAAGAGCTATCTGGTAAAGGGGGCATCAGTGCGCCGAGTTTTGGGGCTTCTGTGGGGCTTGGGATTGGGGATGCGGACTGTTTTGGGGGCGATGCCTAAACCC